ACCAGTTCTCGACTGCCACACTTCCCACATTGCTGTCAAGTTCGCTGAGATCTTGACCAAGATCGACAGACGTTCTGGTAAGGAACTTGAGAAGGAGCCTAAGTTCTTGAAGAATGGCGATGCTGGTATGGTTAAGATGATTCCTACCAAGCCTATGGTTGTTGAGACCTTCTCTGAGTACCCACCATTGGGTCGTTTTGCTGTGAGGGACATGCGTCAGACTGTTGCTGTTGGTGTCATCAAGAATGTCGACAAGAAGGACCCAACCGGTGCCAAGGTGACCAAAGCTGCTCAGAAGAAGAAGTGAGGTTGTGCTTTTGATGGGATTCTGCTTGGATGAACTAGTTTTGTTTATTTGCTTCAGTTTTTTCCAATTTTGTTTTGGACATTTAACCAGTGCTGGATATGGCTCAAGAAGCTATTGTCATGGTTCTCTAGCCTCTTTTGAGGATAGTGGAGTAATTGAGCAATTTGGTCCCGAGCCAAATTGCTTGATGGGCAATGACAATAGCTCTTTGGTGGTTATTTCTTTGCCTGGTTTTATATCACATTTTATGACGAGCTTTAGTTGGTGAATTAATGAACTTGTTTAACTTTGTGAATTTTGAGCAAGTTTTATATCACAACATGTCACTTTTGTCTGTTCTCCTCAATCTTATTTTTAATAGTAGGGCCTTCGTGTGTCTGTCTTTTTTTAGCAGCAGCTTATTTATCTTAATGTTGCTGATATAGTATAAAGATTGTGAGCTAATTATGATTCTCCTAAATCTCCATAGGAGAATCATAATTGTTTTTGCAGTAGATTCAACTTCGTTGGACTTTTTTCCCCGGTAGAATCGTCTCATACTATGATGGATTATTACCTAATCATTCACCTTGGCAAATAGTTCTAGGTTTTGTTACCTTTGTCAAAGGAAGTAGTTGTTAATGTTTCGTTCTGTCTTTCTTTTCTTTGTAGGGTTTATCTTTTGTTGTTGCTTACAAAGTGAAAATTTTGTTCAGTAATTTGCTAAGGACAAAATTATTTTTTTGGTTATTAAAATTTACTGGAAGTTGAACTATTTAGTGATAATACGTGAAGTTTGTTTTAAGAGCATACCTTTTTTGACAGAACAGTTTTAAGTGATAAAGACTTGTATACTAGAATATAAGTCGTGGTGAATTCTTGCTTAGTCATAAATTTAAAAACTTTTGAGGATAAAATAGTTGAACAATGTTCATACTGAGGCACAGTGGGAGCCATAGTTGGATTGAGAGTTTTTTTTTTGTAGATAGTTGCATTTTCTTGATTGAACAAAAAAGGACACACACAAGGTTTATTGAGCGAAAGATGGGAAAATTCAAGATTTTTCTGTTTTATTGAACAAAAAAGGATACACACAAGTAGTTGTTAATTCAAAATTCACCAAGGCCGCCCAGAAGAAAAAGTGAAATGCTAGTATTTCCAGTGCTATCTATTATCGTCAAGTGTGTTATGTAGACTCTGTTTTATTTAGTTCTGTTATAGTTTTGTCTTTGCTTTTAGGTTCTGGTTCTCTGCCTTGTATGTTAGGTGGCCGTTCTCAGAACTGGGTACTTGACAGGCGGTGGTGAGCTTGACTTTGAGTCTGTCTTCATTGTGTTGAGGAGGTGCCTTGGTTTTCCACGGCAGCTCAGGATTTTTGCTATTTATGTTGCCTAGAGTACTTAATTTGAGCTTTTTAAAATTTTCTACTCTTTGCCTTCTGTGAGTTAAGATTAAGGACTTATTTGGCCATAGATTTTGTCGAAATAAATTTGGATTTTATTTGGCAAACACATGTTTGGCCATAGATTTTGCCTATATTTTTGTAAAATCCGCAAAATATCATTATTATATTTTTTAAAAATTGTTCTAAACTTTTGTATTTTATAAAATAGCCCACCATTTATTATTTTGTAACTATGTTGCTTCGTCTTCTCGGTTACCTGATAGTGTATCATGTAGTTTATTATAAAAATGATAATTTTGTATCAAATTTATTTATGTTCAGGACTATGGTTTGCGATAATATAATGAATGTTCTTAATAATGGTATTGTTGGGTATTTGTGATAGTTTTTAGAACTTGTTGGTATTAGTCATGTTTCATATTAAATATGTTTTGAAAACTGATGTCCAAACACATTTTCATCTTCAAACCAAAAAATAAATGTCTTGTACAATTCGTTTGTTGAAGATATGTTATTTGTTAAAATAGGTGACGTCCAATGGTGGGTTCATATATAAGCTCTAATTATTCTTTGCCCAAATCCTAAGTAGGGAGATCACCATTATCTGCTAGTTTGATATCTGAGTTCATCGTACTAACAATTTATCTTAACATGTTTTTCTTGGGTTGGGTGTTTAAGAGTGAGTGTATGAACTTACGATATCCAACACCAAGGGGAATACCAACACCATGTATTATCACTCTCAAGATTCTCATACCAAACACCTCTCTGAGAGCTGCATTCCGATGGAAGGGAAGAAACTTTTTTCATTTTAAAAGTGCGACAAGGAATTTTAATGATACACGAGTCTTGAATTAACGTAAATACTCCTGCCCCTTTAATATACCTTTTAGTCCTCCAATATTACTATTATGTTGAAGAAAAAAATGTTGAGGTGCAAAGACCATGTTGAGGTTTTATTTTAAGATGTAATATTCTTAAAATGAGGGTGAATGGGAAATGGAGGGA